AACATCTGATAGAATAGGTTAACTTGAGAACTTAAATAAGTAGTCACGAGGGATTTTAAAACAATTAGAGCGGGTTTTGGAGGAAACTCAGGCCGACAGAAAATAAGATTTCTACCGAGATTATAGATATACCTTTCCATGTGGACCTGGAACATGTAACATTCCTTCGACCAAAACCAAAGAGAGTAGCATTACCAACAACATCGCGGTTTTCATCTTGCTTGTGCCAGCTTCACTAACTAACTGATTTTTTTTTTCTAAAAACGCCTCGCATATGGAGATACATGTAGGTGCGTCATTCAGAGGAAGATGTATTCGGCTGTTAAGGAGCTACATATTTACCGCCAAGTGGAGAAAATCAGTAAATTTTTCAAACAGTAAAAGCGTTTCTTGTTACGTTCATGTCATTACGACGTAATAAATACTTATTTGACCAGAAAGTTAAAGCTTTTTCCTTTTCTAGAAAATTATATTCAATAGCTTGCATGGACAACAGCAGCACTTTAAGACCAACGACTTGGAGGCAACCGCGCTTTAAACTGAGTTTTATTCATAATCATGGAACGAGTTCTGTAGAGCTCTTTATCTCGATTCTTAGTTTTACCTCTAAAAATGATTGAGGATCGCATAAGCATTTTTTAATTAACTTCTCACTCCTCCATGTAATTCCCATATCTTGAGGGCTCAAAGTTACATCAGGTTTATCTATGCCGGGAAATTCGTGGACACAATGGCCCAAGTGGAACCAATTTGAGAAGTTGTGTTGGCTTGGAGCTTGTCTGTGTAACCTTAGTCTTCAAAATGAGTCATTTTTTAAGTAAATCAACTGTTTTCCCCGAAATATTTTTGGATGAAGATTAATCTAAAGAAAGAGTACCCCCCAATGTGCATCGCCTTCCAAGCAGCTGTTTCGATAAGCCCGCCACACGAGTGTATTTCAAAAGTATACGGCACATTTTCTTTAATTTCGCACGTAAAAATTCTCGGGGAAAAACTTTCTCAGAACTCCTATACATTTTCTTACGTGTTTGCTAAGTCAGAGGAAGAGTTTTTTGGACAACGGGAGACTTCTAAACTAGAGACTTGACTTAAACGATGAGTAAGTAAGTAAACTCTTTATTTAAAGAGGGTGGCACTTAATAATAGCCAAACGGCTAATAGTAATGAACATGCGGCACTCATACAATACATATGATAATACTAATGCAAATACAGATATCAATGAGTAAATGCATTATTTTAAAAATAGTAGAACATTTAAATGAATGAAAAAACCTATGATAAAGTCTATAATACAAGTAGATTTCAGGATTAAATGACAGAGTCAGGAAACTATAAAAATAATCATCTGCTTTGCCAATTAAAAATTTTGAATGGAATTTCTTAAACTTAAATAGAAGGTGTAACTGTTGCAGTTTTAACGGTTCTTGCGGCTTACGGTAGATATCCACCAGCAGCCACCTCCACTTTTGTGAATAGTTGTTAAATAGTACCTTAACTTAACAAACCCTTAAAGATGAAGTGATTCATCATGAAACTGATCTCTTTTATTTCAATTTGTTTTCCAGTTCGCCGCAAATCATGTTGTGCCCGTACAAACTTTGGTTCTCTTGCTCTTTAATTAGCCCAGCCTTCTTTACATTTCGCTTCTTTCGTTTCTCGTTTTTTCCTCTCTTTTCTTTTCTTTTCATGTTGTAATGTGTGGCATTTTACATCGGCTTGAAAAATTTTTTGTCATCCTGTTTTTTTTCATCGGAATCATTTTGGTGCGCTTTATTTTGAAAAGTTCCAATCAAAATCTTCGGTTGTTCAGCCAAGGTGGGATGGATGGGAAACTAAAATAAGTGAAATAACTAAGTTGTCTCGTTAACAATCGATTGTTTCAGGTCTCATTTATTTATTTATTTATTTATCCCCTTTTTGATAGCCAATATAGCTGTGGTTAAATTCTTGCAAAGAGACTGCCTGTCCGCAACGTTGACGAAACAAAGAAATATTTTTCCAGCACATCATCCAGAAATTTTATTTTAACACATTGTAACCAATATATATTTATCGTAAAGAACACAACCTCTTTTGGATTAATGCAGTTTATTTTTACAGCAAAAACAATCTATACTTCAATTTAATCATCTAATAATGCATTCGAACGTTAACTGGTAAGCTGTTTTGTCTTCAGTTCAAGTGAATTCATTTCTTTCGTTCCACCTCACATCCCAGCTCACGAGCCTGTAAGCAGATGTCTCTTCGGTACTGAACTTCCTGTTGAGACTGGACAAACAATATAAACAGAACAGAAAAAAAATTAGCGAGCTCTCTTCTCCAAACAAGGCCGACAGTTGGGGCGCATGTGTCACAAAAATTGACTCAGTGCCCCATGAGCTGGTTTTCCTCGCCTGTTGGACGAAAAAAGGTGATGGCATGCTACGTCGACTTGGGACATCTAAGACACGTAGGATCCTGCCCGTTGGATACAACGTATGTATCACATTACCAAAAATAAAAAGGCAAACATTAAACAAACCAACAAAAACGCTGAAAGCTACAGAACTCTGTACTAACCTCTTTGAAGCGTCTGCGGTCGTTCATCTTCAAGATTCTTGGTTTGGTCTTGTTTACAAATAAATAGTTTAGTTAAAACGTCGTTTACAAGAAGTAATTGATTACTAACGTCAGTTCATACCTAACTGAAATAGATAATAGTATGGTTTACATGGAAAATTGAACTAATTCAGGAAGAAGAGAAAAAGAGGTAAACAGAACACCTGATGAAACAAAATAACTTAAAAAAAAACCAGTTATTGCGGGTTTTGGAGGAAATTTAATCTGACAGGAAGTAAGACTTCTACAGACTGAGATTATAAATATACCTCTGCAATACTCAAGGGAATACCTCCTTCGACCAAAACCAAAGAAAGGAGTAGTACCAACAGCAACACCGCGGTTTTCATCTTGCTTGTACCAGCTTCACTCACTAACTGACTCCTTTACTCAAAACGCCTCGCATATGAAGATATATAAAGGTGCATCAGTCCGAGTAAGATGTATCCGGCTGTTTATGAGCTCTTTATTTGACTCATATTAATGAGTTTTTTTTACAGCAGTAAAACCGTTTCCTTTTACGCTCATGTCACTACAATGTGATAAAATACCTATGTGGCCAGAACCTTTATGCATCTTTCCTTAAAGAAATTATATTTAATGGCTTGCATCGACAAAGGAAGTACCTTTTGAACCTATCGACTGATAGTAATCGACAACGCTTTGTGATCTAATTTCTGTTCAGTTGTTTGGTGAGTTGAAATAAGGCCGTCGCGCTTAAACTTGAGTTTTATTCATAATTATCGAATTATTTTGAACTGTCGGATGTCGATTCTCAGTTATATTTCTAAAATTAATTGAGGCCCGTATCAGCATATATAATCTGAATTATCTTAAGGGCTCAAATTTATAGTAGGTTTATATATGGAAATTCGTGGACACAACAACAACCACATTGTAAGAAATCATGTTTTCATGGAACTTGCCTGTGTGACGCCAGGCTTCAAGGCTTTTTAGAGACAACAAAATATTTAAAAAAATTGTCTTGTTTTCCTCGAAATTTTTTTTGGATGAAGATTATTCTAATGACAAAGGACCCCACAATGTGCATCACAGTCCTAGCAGCTGGTTCGATTAGCCCCCGACTTGACTTTTAAGAATTGTCATCTACGTTACCCTGCTAAGTCAAAGTTGCCGTGAGGAATTTCTCAGACCCTAAATGGAAGGTGTGCGTTATTGCAGTTTTAAGAGTAAAATATCTCGTGGGTTAAAGAGCTATACAATGTTAAGCTTAAATGAAAGCCGCAGTGCACATTGCAATGGATTTATGAAATTTAGTCATCGAATTAGATAAAAAAACTATCTCCCCCCTTTTAGCCTTTTGGAAAATGTGTACCAAAATTATGAATTGGTTGACAAATAACTTGCACCCTATTGAATCTTAACCATATCTATCCGTCAATAGGATTATNGGAATGAATAAAGGCTGATAGTTTCGAAAGAAACTGTTTGGGGCTGCGTCGGTGGGAGTAACGAAATAATTTGGATATATCAACAAAGTTGAAATGGTAAATTGGCCACCGTAATGATTACAAAAGCTGACGTTTCGAGCGTTAGCCCTTCGTCGGAGCGAATAGAGGAATTGTGGGTTGTGTGTGCTTTTAAAGGCAGAAAATGGAGCTACGTTATTGGTGGGTGCATGGCAACGAGAAAAACATGAATAAATTAGTGGAATGAAAAGCGTTCATTGATCCCTGTGGGATTGAGACTGCCGGTTTGAAAGATGAGCTTTTGTTCAAGATTTTTACGGCTTTCCGTGCCACCTAAGTGCAAGGAAAGACCGCAGATTGCCATATGTTGCTTAGAATGATTAGGTAAATTAAAATGTCTAGCGACTGGTTTAGATGTGTCCTTGTCATTCCTTTCCACGTCTCGAAGGTGTTCTCGGAATCGGTCACCTAGTCTTCTGCCTGTTTCGCCGATGTATATCTTTTTGCAATAAGTGAAAGTTATGTAATAGATTACATTAGCGGAGGTGTACGTGAAGTGATCGGTGATCTTAATGGATCGTTTAGGTCCCGATATTTTATCAGTGTTGTGAATGAAAGGACACGTTTTGCATCGTGCACGAGCGCATTTAAAAGTGCTTGGTTGCTCTACGTCCGGCGCTTCTGTTCCTTTTTGGCTGCCTGTGTCCTACTGGAGCGTCTCTGTCCTATTTCGAGCGCGTTCGCTCGATTTTGGACTCCTTCGGCGGATTTTGTCCTTCTTTGAAAGCTTTCGTCCGATTTTGGGCTTTGAGGTCCGTTTTTACGTCTTTCTGTTTTTGCAACATCAGCCAAAAACAGAAAGCCTTTTCTGTGTTCTACAAGGAAGGACCACAAAGCTGGAACGTGTGATAACATCAAACTTAAACGAAATGAAGAAACTCAACGAAAGTGAGAAACAGTATTTTACAAAGAAGTCATTTAAAATCGAAGGGTTTGCTACTCGCAGGAACACATTACCGTCTTCGTTCATTTGGATTGCACACTAGTATCTGGTATCGATTCATCTTATGTAAGAAATGAATCTATGTAACGTTCAATCTCCGCGGCCAGAGAATAAAAAAAAAACAAAACAAAAAAACAGACTGACAAGGATTGTACAGAAGAATATTGAGCCTCGTCAATCTTAAATTCAGCATAGCTATACAATCCCAAACTTTCCAAATGGATGTTTCGACGGAGTTTTTGGCGGTGAAGCTCTGAAAAATATTCTTGTTTTTTTATTTTTCGTGGCTCTCTAATCTTCATGTTCTCTAACTGACTTAGCCAAAAATCACTATCAATTGCAAGTAGTGGAACTTGCTATTTTTTTTTCATAAAGTATGCTTTCACTTCAAGAAACAAAAACAAGTCCAAATTATATTCATACGTTGTTTATAAAGCATGGAATTTGGCATGGAATATGATATGTTCTCTATTTTGCACACCTGCTCTAATGATACATGTATTTACACTTCAGGGACTTTAATCTTTAAATTCAACCCTGACTGGTGATGTTTTTCTCGGGTTCACTCGAAAGGAGGTTGCAAAGCAAATACAAGGCAGTTTTAAAGCATCACGCTATTGTCATGACGTAATGTTGTTGATGGCCAAACTGTTTGCGTGACGAATCAAGAGTCTGATCACGTGGAAGGACAAACCAATCAAAACGCGCCCAGACCTTCAGACGACCAATTTGAGATTTGGTTTGTATTTATTATAATCAAACAAATTGAACGTGCATGGTGTTCTTGGTTCGAAGTGGCCAAAGGTGACTTTGGCTTCCTTCCTTAGGAAGAAAGAGGGAACGGTGCTGATTTACTGTTTGTACTGCGTAGGATTTCTGGTATGATCGACCAGTGCCGCTTTCTTTTTCAATAACTTAATCTTGTTGAGATGAGTATAATCAAACATCGAACAAGAGACCAAAGATTGTTGTTGTCTTAAGATTAATAGAACTCTCTATTCCAAGCGAAATAATAAAATTGTCTCGTCAACACTCGATTGTGTCAGGATTCATTTATTTATGAGATAACTGATTCGTTGATTTATTCATCCACTTTTTGGCAGCCGATAGCTCTAATGATTCTTACACATTGTAACCAATTTATGTTTATCATAAAGAAACAACCTCTTTCAGATTCAAACAGTTTTTTTACAGAAAACAATCTATATTTCAATGTAATTATTTAATAATGCAGTTGAACGCTAAATTATATTGTGCTACGCTGTCTTCAGTTGAAGTCAATTCATTTCTTTCGTTCCACTTCACATCCCAGCTCACGGGCCTGTAAGCAGATGTCTCTTCGGTTTTGAACCTCCTGTTGAGTCTGAACAAACGATATAAACAGAACAGAAAAAAAAAAAAGAAAAATTAGCGAGCTCTCCTCGGCGAAACACGCGCGAAAGCAAGGGCGCATGTGTCATGGAAATCATCTCAGTGTTCCTTAAGCTGGTCTTCCTCGCCTGTAGAAGGAACAAAGGTGATGGCTCTTCTGCATGCTACGTCGCCTTAAGACATCTAAGACACATGCGATGCTGCCCGTTGGATACAACGCATGTATCACAATACCAAAAATAAAACAGGCAAACATTAAACAAACCAATAAAAACGCTGCAAGCGACAGAGCTCCGTACCAACCTCTTTAAAGCGTCTGTGGTCATCCATCTTCATGATTCTTGATATTGACTTGTTTGCAAATAAATAGTTTAGTAAGAACGTCGTTTACAAGAAGAAATTCAGTGTTTGAAAACGTCAGTTCATACCTAACTGAAATCGATGATAGTATGGTTTACATCGAAAATTGAACTCATTCAGGAAGAAGAGAAAAAGAACATTGATGAAATAGGTTAACTTGAAAACTTACGTAAGTAATCATGAGGGATTTTTAAACACTCAGAGCGGATTTTGGAGGAAATTTAGGCCGACAGAAAATAAGATTTCTACCGAGATTATATTTATACCTTTCCATGTCCATTCTTAAACATTCCTTCGACCAAAACAAAAGAAAGGAGCAATACCAACAACACCGCGGTTTTCATCTTGCTTGTACCAGCTTCACTCACTAACTTTTTTTTCTCAAAACGCCTCGCATATGAAGAGATACGTAGGTGCGTCAGTCAGAATAAGATGTATCCGGCTGTTAAGGAGCTATATGTTTACCTCAGAGAGAAAAAA